GTTGCCAAGTCAATCAACCACACAAGAGAACCAGAACCGGAAACAAAGGACGAAACGGACAAACACCCGGGGACTCGGCCGAAACCGAACCACCCCAGGGTGGCTCGGCCCAAGCCGAGCCACCCTGAGGTGGCTCGGTGGCCGAGCCACCCCAGGGTGGCTCGGCCAAGGCCGAGCCACCCTGAGGTGGCTCGGCCAAAGCCGAGCCACCCCAGGGTGGCTCGGCCAAGGCCGAGCCACCCTGAGGTGGCTCGGCCAAGGCCGAGCCACCCATGGGTGGCTAGGCTCAGAACTGTGCAAATGCACAGTTCTGAGTGCCTATAAATAGGCCTTGTGCTCATTTGTTTCAGAGGTTGGAAATTTTGGAGAGAGGCGAAGCCCTGCTGGATTGAAGACTCAGATCTAAAAAAGATCACAACTTTGAAGGCTTGGAGACTTGGACTTTCAGATCCGGTGCTCGGCGATCACCAACGCCAAATAAGGCAGGAGTTCGAGAGGATTGGATTTGAGATCTACACGATCACACTCCGGATCTAAGCTTGGTTCTTAGATCCCGAGATTCGAGCGGTTGTTTCCTTGGTGAAACAATCCCTCCCGGCTATTATTCCCTTGGTGGAATATTACCCGTCATATCGTGTAGATCCGACCGGATCGAGATCACGCGGTGGTCCACGGCAAATAACCCCGGCGCAGGCAAAGAACCCACCAAAGCGAGCGACCGCAAAACAGGAGCTCGCGATTAGTTCGACAAATAAGGAAAATTGTAATCTTTACTTTGTTTTCTTTGATTTTTCATTGTAACCGGATCTTATAAAAAGACCGGATCTTTGTAACGCATAAAGTTGTTAACTGAGATAGCAATGATATCAACAATGAAGAAAGCTACGATTTTTCCCGCGAACAATCTGGCGACCACAGTGGGAGCCAACAGCTTTACTGCCGAAGCTGTCGCGTCGCAGCCGCGGATCCCGATCCCGGTCGAGGAGGAGGTCGAGTACGAATTCGACCAACAAAAGTTCGAGGAGTATCTGTCATCCTCGTCCGAATCCACCTCCCCTCGCAAGTCCAAGTCTCCAAAGCTCTCTTCCAAGAGAAAACTTCGTTGGTACGAAGAAGTTGAAGCTGCCAACGAAGATCTCGCCCCGTTTGATGCCGAAGCTGCATCGGGTGAGATCTCTCCTTCCAACCAGGTCAGATCTGCTCTGGCCGAATCTTCCGTTGCCGAGGGCGTAGTGACTCTCTCAAAGAGAGCCCGCCAAAGGCAACGTCAGCGCCTTGCGAAACAAATCGCAAAGGCAATGGAATCTGTGGACGGGATCCGTTACAACACGGATCTGAAGAACAGAAGAGGCGAACGACCTCAACAACCAATGAATGGCAACTCCTCCAAGCCACCAACGAACGAATGGATCCGTGTCAAACGGAACCGTTCAACGCTGGAGGATCGCATTCAGAAGCGCCGCGCACTCTCAGCACAAGCACGAGCTCAAGTTCAAGAAGCCCGTAGAAGGTGGCAGAATGGAGTAGCCAAGAAATCACCACTAACTCACAAAATATGGAGGCCAAAGTCCAAAGTGGTGAGTCAGGCCGAGGATCGACCTTTACAGCCTTCAAAACGAGTTCAACCTCCCGAACCATCCCGAGGAAGGAGGTCAATCTTGGAGCGCCTCGGTCCAATTCCCGACGAGCGCAACGAAGTCCATGAACGCTCGGGCCCGATGAAGAGGCTCCGAACTAATCAACATGCTGGGGGTCGACACAACCCTCAACATGACAAAGAGTTTACGGCACCCAAGCGCACTACCTTGCGCATCGAAGTTCGGGAGCCCGCTGAGAATTCATGTCTACAAAGGCGTGTTTCGAGGCGAGTGACTCTCGGAAGTCCAAATAAGGCAGTTTGCTCTCAGAAGGAAACGTTGTCATCCGAGGATGATAACGTTATACCTGGGAAATCATGCCAACACGCGATAGGTTACTCCGATCAAATGGACGAGTTGTACTATCGTGCTGGGGGTACGAACAAAACAAGAAAAAGAAGCCCTCAAGGGCTCGAAACTCAGTGCCCATGTGCCAAGCTCATTCGGGTAGTACTGTCTCAATGCAACTGCATCAAGGGAGTCCCCGAGAGAATTTCAGTGTTCGAAAGGCTCGGCACCGAAACGCCAAAACCAAGGTATAGGCGTTTCCGGCAAAGAAGAACGGTGGTTAAAGACGGAGAATTTCCGAGGGTCACCGCCAACATGACCAGCAAAGAGACATTGACACAGATTGATCTCAAGTCGTTTCTGGAAGCATCTCGGCGTGTAACCCGTCTGCAGTCCGGAGCCATCGCACGAGGAACTTATGGTAGGGTTCGGACAAGATTGCCTTCGGAAGATGAAGAATCGGATTCCTGCTCTGCTGTCGCATCGGACAATACAGTGTCCAGCGAAGGACAACCCCGCGAGTCATTTATGATAAGCGCGGAAGAAATGGCCAAGATGCTTGAAGACGCTTTGGCTAAACAGAAAGAAAGTTTCAAGTTTGAGATGCAGATGGCCCTGCAGACTATGAGAGAGATGCATGAGCAACAAATCCAGGCATTCAGGAACCAACAAGGTGAACCAAGTCACCGTAATCAGGTTGTTCAGGAAGAAGAGCACACGGATAGGGATGGAGCTCACAATGCCAATAACCCTCCCGTCAATGCAGGGGGTTGTTCGCGGGAAAAATCGTGTCTTTCTTCATTGTTGATATCATTGCTATCTCAGTTAACAACTTTATGCGTTACAAAGATCCGGTCTTTTTATAAGATCCGGTTACAATGAAAAATCAAAGAAAACAAAGTAAAGATTACAATTTTCCTTATTTGTCGAACTAATCGCGAGCTCCTGTTTTGCGGTCGCTCGCTTTGGTGGGTTCTTTGCCTGCGCCGGGGTTATTTGCCGTGGACCACCGCGTGATCTCGATCCGGTCGGATCTACACGATATGACGGGTAATATTCCACCAAGGGAATAATAGCCGGGAGGGATTGTTTCACCAAGGAAACAACCGCTCGAATCTCGGGATCTAAGAACCAAGCTTAGATCCGGAGTGTGATCGTGTAGATCTCAAATCCAATCCTCTCGAACTCCTGCCTTATTTGGCGTTGGTGATCGCCGAGCACCGGATCTGAAAGTCCAAGTCTCCAAGCCTTAAAGTTGTGATCTTTTTTTAGATCTGAGTCTTCAATCCAGCAGGGCTTCGCCTCTCTCCAAAATTTCCAACCTCTGAAACAAATGAGCACAAGGCCTATTTATAGGCACTCGAAACTGTGCCTTGGGCACGAAACAGGGCCTAGCCACCCATGGGTGGCTCGGCCATGGCCGAGCCCCCCCTGGGGTGGCTCGGTTTTGGCCGAGCCACCCTAAGGTGGCTCGGCCTTGGCCGAGCCACCCTGAGGTGGCTCGGCCTTGGCCGAGCCACCTTGGGGTGGCTCGGTTCAAAGCCGAGTCCCCCGGGGTTTGGGCTTGTGTTCGTTTCGTGGTTCGGATTCCGTCATTCGGGTTCGATTATTCGTGATTTGATTTAGACTTCGACTCGGTTGTGTGGTTGACTTGTTCGGATTCGATTTGTTGATCCGATTCCTGATTAGGCAGTAAGTCCACTTCTGAGTTCAAGTCCGAAGCTTGATTTCGATTCGATCACGATTCGTCCGAGTCTGTATTTGGTTGAATGACTCATTGATGAATCAACCCGTTGGTTTGATTCCGCACGTGAGTGGATCCATTCCATTGTTTACGTGCGGTTCATCGGCTTCGTAGCCTTGTTATCCCGCTTCGTCGCGTGTCGTTTGGCTTCGGTGTTGCGGATTAACGATCTTGTTTGGATACGTCGCCTGATGGTTCGTTCTGTCGAATCGGCATCGTCGAGCTGTGCTAAGGGACCTATAGGCAATTTTATACGCCTACAGCAACGTGCACGACTTAGTACAGTTTCTGGATTTTTGGCCAATCGACTGCGACGATTTCGGCAGTTGACCGCCAGACACTATAATTGAATTTTGGGTTCTATCGTTCTGTCCGGTCGACCATGACGTCAAGTGCGGTCGATAGCGATTCGGGTTTGGGCTTGATTACGGTTTTCTGTTCTGTATGGGATTATTGTTTGATATAAATAGCAATCACATTTTAGGGTTTCTTTAGAGTAGTCAAGGAGGATATTTTAAGCATAGAAAAGAGAGATCTTTCTGAGCTATTGGTTAGGGCTATTGTTTGAGAGATTGAGAGCTTTGTTGGTGAGATTAGTTATTTTGTTTTAAATGATTTGTAATCTCAGTTTGTACTCTCCTTCTCTATTAGTGAAAACGCATCTCCCTTGCCCCGTTGACGTAGGAAACTTGCCGAACCATGTAAAAATTGATTGTTTGTGTTTGTGCCGTTATTTTGCATTGTTTGGTCTTCTCTCTCGGCGTTTGGTTTGGTTCCTCGAAGCACAACGATTGATGGTTTCCGCGCACAACATAGAAGTGCCAAGAGTCAATCCGCAATTGGACGATATTACGGGCAATGTATCCCGAATTAACCCAAAAAAATTATCTGGACCAATACAGATGCACCCACACATGGAACCCTATTGCCATTGCCCTGTTGAACGCTCACAGTATGTATGGAAAAGGAAATAGACATGCAAATCATTAACAATTTGACGCGGATGATAACAAAATTGAACGAGACATTGCATTATCGGTCTTATTTACGGATACGCCTTGCTCAATTTGCGCAAGCCTTAGTGGATGCTCTTGGATTGAATGCAAATTAAGAGCTGAGGCACCGACAACTGCTCTCTCTGGAGGAGCTCAGCTCATCACAAACACCAGCTGTAATACTTTCAGAGAAGTAAATCCGAGAAGCCCCATTGGTCATGAATTAATAAGGGCACCCCACTCCTCAGACATCTGCAAAATGCACAGCTAGCTCATCACTGCTCCCACCTACACAACCTTTCTCTCTTATAAGTATGGATCAAAATGATATATAATACTCTCACTTGCATGGCCTAAGCCTAATGTCCTAAAACTTGTTCAAAGATGAAGAAACTCTTATCGCCTTCATTAGCGCTTCTCTTCCTCCTACTGACTTCATCCTACCTCCAAGCTTCCCTTGCTGGCTCAGGTGACAAAATAACTAAGGTTTATGGTACGTACGTATAGTGTCTAGTGCTATGTATATCAAGATTGTGCTATGATCTGTTCAGGTTTTTGTGACGGCAAATGCAAGGTGAGGTGCTCGAAGGCAAGCATTAGAGACAGGTGCCTTCAGTATTGTGGACTGTGCTGTGCTCAGTGCCGTTGTGTTCCCTCTGGGACTTACGGCAACAAGGATGAATGCCCTTGTTACAGAGACAAGACCACCGGCGTCGGCAAGAGAATGAGACCCAAGTGCCCTTAATTCAGGTTGAGACTGCCATCAGGCTTATTAGTTATCCGAGGCTTTGTTGCTTCCACATGTATTATGTAGTGAGATCTGAATAAGCTGAATGGCATTCAAGAGTTTGTACCTAGATTCTGGGTGAAACTACGGTGTGTGATTGAGTGCATTAAATAAAAGTAATAGCTTGTAATAGTGGTGCTAAAAATGTCATACTTTTGGATTCAGCACAATCAGTGAATCTTGAATCGTTGCAGCCAAGGAACAAACGGACACCACATATGAGTCAAGGAAAACATCAGCAAGCCTAAGCACTTGATTATTCCCTAAAAGTAACGTGATATATACAAACAAAGTAAACCTATGTACTGCAATACTATCAGTATAGACTTGCATTTGGATCCAAGTCACGGATGATCTTAGTCGATCCAGATATCTAACTATGATCACAATTCAACTCCAAAACCAATCATCTAACGAAATCATCTGGGAAAATTGGGATCCGACAATTTGTACACGAGAGCACATATTAATATCAAGAGCACAAAACCCGTAACTACAAGGTATTTCATCCAGACTTCTATTTTAAACCCATAAATTTTTTTCTCATCCTATCTGATGTAGGACTATACTGAAACACATGAATACCCATACGAGAGACTTATATATTGTTAAACCCTAATACTAACTTGAATCATCGAATTTCCAACAAGTTATAATGCAATGATGCAATGATGCTGTTTGGTAAACAAATTCCTCCCTTTTTGGCTGGTAGATGAAGATAACATGCATAATAGAACTTCGAGATGTTTAGTTTATAATTGGATTCTTGTACCCCTCTCCTCGCGCTCAAAAGGACTGGCCCTCAAGTCTATTGAAGAAACATGATCCGATAAAGTAACAAAGTAGCCAGCATCCTATATGTTCTTTCCTCAGGTATGAATACACAACCACTGGTTATGTCCTCATTACATAAAGTGACCAAGACAAGAGGTATCCGATAATAAAGGTACGCAAATGGCAAAGGATGGGGGTCCAAGGGAATCTAATAAGGACCATACAGCCTGGAGTTTTTACGATATTTCATAGTTTCATGGATCACTTGAAGGTTCAGTTAGCCGGAAGCCTAGAGCAGAAGCATTTCGGCCAAATTGTTACTGAGAACAGACATTTAGATTTGAGAGGGCTGATTGTATGTTCACATTTCAGTGTATTAAAGTCTAAGTTGTGGGATTAACTTTTGACTATTTTTCTAAAGATCAAACATATTGACAAGCCGTCTGAGCAGGAGGTTTTTAGATAAACGACATGGAATAGTGTTCAGAATCCAATATCGTACAACAAAATCACATATTTAGATGTTAGATCAAGACATAATTTACAGAACTATAGGAATGTTGGTAAAAGGAATCCACAAGTAATATGTGGCTTTCAAACCAATCTACTTTTCAAATAGGATGGAAGAATTCGCCTTGTCCATTCCCCAAAAAAAAAAGTCCAAAACGAGAAAAGTAATGGAATATTGCTTTTGATAGTTCAATACGTCAACTGATAAGAGCAACCAAGTGAAGATTATCCGCTAAAGAATGCGAAGGATCAAAAGCTTAAAGAATCTAAGAATAGTCCCCAACATGTGTGAAGTGAAACTAGCAGGGCTAACAATATTAGCAACATTAATTACTTGATCCAAAACCAAATTACCAGAGATTTCAAGCTACAGAAACTTAATGTCAAGTAAAAGGGAATATATCTTTGTTTCTTCAACAGTGTTCAAGCAGGGTAGAAGCGAAGCTAGTAAAAGCACTACAGCGAACACCAACTTCTCGTTGCTCCCACCAAGACCAAATAATTGCAGATGATCTCATGGGATACATACCAAAAAAGGACATGTCCTCCAATATGCAACGATTTTTATCTTTTGCAGAAGATTCACAGACAACTTTACCACATGCATCTCTTTTCTTTATAGCTAATCGAGTCGTCGTATTGCACTTCCCCCTCTTCTGCTTTATGTATGTTCTACATCTATTGTTCTAGTTAATAATTTCCCTCACATCCTTCCGCGATTACATATAGTGTTGTGCGCAGCGGAACTCGAAAGTCAAATAGTGCACGAGCAAGAACGAGAAAGATCACAACCAAAACACAAGCACAAATCACAATCACAGCAAGACAAACCAATTTACGTGGTTCGGCAAGTTGTCTACGTCCACGGGGCAAGTAGGGGGGAGTTTTTACTATTAGAGATAAAGAGAATTACAAATAGGGTTTCAAATCTCACCAAAAACCCTCAAACAAAGTTCTCTAGATCTCTCACAAATCCTCCCATAAAAGATACAACAATCCTCTCTCAAAGACGGCTCAAATCGTCCTTACTTTATTCTAATTAATTAGATTTAGGGTTATATATCAGCCTATAACGAAACGGGTCTGAAATCCAAACCCAACTCAAAACCCGATTGGCGGGCGATTGGCGGCCGACCGCCAAATTCGTCGCGGTCGACCGCCCAGGAATCGACAGAAACAAAAAACATTACAGTGTTTGGCCGGTTGACCACAACGGTCGACCGTCCCAACTCCAGAAATTTGCTTCAACCTGTGCACGTTTCCGATCGACCGCAGCTGATCTTGCGATCAACCAGCAAGCTTCCAGACTGTTTTTCTGAGCTTCTTCAACATTGTTCGCTAATCCTACAAATCTCCATCTCGGTGAAGTTTCTCCCAAAACTGAGCCGATACTAAAGCAACCAAATATTCTACTTTTTGCGTCCAATACGAACTAGAATAAATCCACGACAACGGACTCAATCCACAACAAGTCGAGAACCCGAACGAGAGCTCAAACAATCTCCCCCCATCGAAATCAACAAATCTAACCGACTGCATCGAAAAGACTGCCTACGTATCCTCTTGCCCAAGGAATCAAGCCGAACGTAGTTCACCCCAAATGGCCTCCAAAGGCACTCAACATTGAAGAATGTTCAATAGCTTCAAACAATGACCAAATTTTACACCTGAAATAACTTTGGTTAACATATCCGTAGGGTTTTCCTTCATGTGGATATTCTCCAATATGACATCTCCATCATCCAAAACATCACGAACAAAGTAGAATCTGACATTAATATGCTTCGTGCGTGCATGATAAACCTGATTCTTTGCCAAGTAGATAGCTGACATGTAATCATAATATACCCGAATGATCTCCTGTGTAATCCCCAAGTCCTCTAACAATCCATACAACCACAAAGCCTCCTTAACAGCTTCAGTCATCGTCATATACTCCGCCTCTGTAGTAGAGAGAGCTATTGTAAATTGAAGTGTACATCTCCAACATACCAGTGCTTCTGTTAATGTAAACACATATCCTGAAGTAGACCAGCACTTGTCAAGATCTCCTGCATAATCTGAATCCATGTAGCCAATACAATCCTTACCCTCTCTTCTCATTCTTCTGAAAAATCAAACCAACATTCACGGCGCCTTTAATATACCATAGAATCCACTTCACGGCCTCCCAATGACCCTTTCCGGAGTCGTGCATGTACCTCGATATCATGCTCACGGTCTGTGATAAATCTGGCCTCGTACACACCATCGCATACATCAAGCTACTCACCATACTGGCATATAGAATCTTTGACATATAATATCTGTCCTCAACCGAAACAGGTAATATCAAAGCTGAAAGTTTGAAGTGGGGAGCTAATAGAGTACTGACAGCCTTTGCATTGTCATCAAAACTGAATTTCTTCAACATCTTCTGCAAGTAACTCCTCTGTGTAAGCTTTACTCTCCCCTTCACCATGTCTCTCTCGATCTCCATACCCAATATCTTCCTAGCTTCTCCAAGATTATTCATCTCAATCTTGGATGACAGCTCATTTTTTAACTTTTGAATAGCCGAATAATTCCTGGAAGTAATAAGCATATCATTAATATATGACAACAAATAAATGTACTCACCATCCTGTAGCTTATGCATGTAAACACATGGGTCATATGGGTCCTCGTGTATCCATGGCCAATCATGAAGCTGTCGAATCTCTTGTACCATTGTCACAGCGATTGCTTCAAACCATAAAGAGACTTCTTCAACTTACACAGCAAATCTTTCTTTCCTGCAGCTTTGAATCTCAAGGGTTGTGTCATGTAGATTTTCTCATCTAAACCTCCATGTAGAAAGGTTGTCTTAACATCCATCTGGACCAAATCTAAATCCAGTTGTGCCACCAATGCTAATAAAATCCGAATCGTCAAATGCTTCACAACGGGTAAAAATACCTCATTGTAATCAACGCCCTCAAGCTGTGCATATCCCTTAGCAACCAATCTGACTTTGTACCTAATGTCCCTAATAGAAAATCCCTCTTCCTTCGTATATGCCCACTTGCAACCAATAGTTTTCTCTCCCTTATATAGCTTTGCAAGTTCCCAAGTATCATTCTTCTGAAGAGACTGCATCTTCTCCTCCATAGCTTCCCTCCACCTAATCAAATCAGAGCTAGACTCTACCTCTCTGAATGTAGAAGGAACAATAACATTAACGACCTTCACTAATAAAGCATATACAACCATGACATCATTATATCTAGCTCGCTGATAAATCACCCTTCTAGGTCTATTTACTACAATAGACTCCTGAACATGACCCTGCTCCTAAGTCTCACCAACCATTGTATCCTCTATATGCCCGATTGTCATCACATCTCCTCCCAGTGTCACCTCTGTAGGAGCCTCAATGGATGCTATCTGGAGTGGGTGGAGTCACATCATCCTCCACCTACTGTGATATCTCACTACTCTGGTCTTTCTCCACCTACTGAGAAACTTGAGATCTCATCATATACGTCTCATCAAATGTGACATCTCTGCTAATGACTATCTTCTTGTCTTGTAGATCCCATAACTTGAAGCCTTTAACACCTTCTCTAAATCACACAAAGACAGTTTTCCTCGCCCTCGGATTTAATTTTTCATTATTGATATGATAATAAGCAGGACACCCGAATATCCGAAGCGACTCATAGTCACTAGCCACTGAACCAGACCATCGCTCTATAGGAGTCTTCCCCTGTATCACAGTGCACGACAACCTATTGACGAGATGGCTCACATAAACTAACGTCTTAGCCCAAAAGGAACTAGATAACCCACTCTGTGTCATCATACATCGTACCTTCTATAGCAAGGTACGGTTCAATCTCTCAGCCACCCCATTCTGTTGTGGTGTCTCTCGAACTGTGAAGTGTCGCCTAATACCGTGATCCTGGCAAAACTGCAGAAATGGATCACTCTTATACTCTTCACCGTTATCTGAACGAAGAGTCTTCACTTTCCTACCTGTCTACAGCTCCACTTTCTTCTTCCACTCCACAAAAATATTCAGGACTTCATGTTTATGCTTCATTATATATACTCAATTTCTCCTGGAATAGTCATCAATAAAACTGATAAAATAGTTAGCCCCACTAAGTGATGTGTGCTTGGAAGGGCCCCAAACATATGTATGAATATAATCCAATATACCTTGGGTGTTATGAATAGCGGTGCCGAACTTCACTCTGGTCTTTTTTCCAAGTACACAATGCTCACACAGCTCCATCTTACAGGTTTTTGTACCTTTTAATAGCCCATGTTTCGCTAATGTCTGTAGAGACTTATCACTAGTGTGTCCTAAACGCATGTGCCATAAGCTGGTAGTGTCCTCCTCTGTAGTGATAGAAGCTGTCAGACCCCCTGTAACTTTCTTGTCCTTTAAGTAGTATAGGTTGTTTTCCCTGACACCTCGTATCACCATCATAGAACCATTCGTTACCTTCACAGTAGCATCCTCTAAGATCACCCGATAACCTGCCGCCTCCAAAGTACCAAGAGAAATGATGTTCTTCGTCAACTGCAGCACGAACCTCACTTCTTTCAACTCTCTAGTCACCCCGTCATACATCCTGATCCAGACTGTACCAATTCCACCAATAGGACATACGTGATCATTACCCATAAGCACGCATCCCCTCTTTCCAGCTCTCCAAAGCTGAAGAACCAATCCCTCCTAGGCAAGTGTGAAATGTATCTCCCGAATCCAACATCCACTTCGTAGAGTCGGCATAGCAAACTGACGGTAGTGCAGAGCATGAATAGTCTGAAGAATCCAAATCTGAATGGTCGCTAAAAGCTTTAGCAACATTTACCTCTGAATCTTGTACAGCTTTCCCCTTGTTCTTCCCGGCTTTGTCCTTCAACTTTGGACACTCGTTCTTCCAATGCCCCTCTTCTTTATAAAAGGCGCATTGATTTCTACTAACACGTACTCTTATGGTCACCTCTATTCTTTGACTTTGAACAGTTAAACTGGCGGCGGTTTGGACTACGGTCCCGAACTGCTAATGCATCTCCCGATGCCTTTTCGGAGGGTTCGCCATCACTCTTCCTCAACTCATAATTTACCAACGCTGAGATCACCTTCTTGTAACTAACAGTAGTTTTTCCATTGATCATAGTGAGAACGAATGTACTATAATCATCCTCTGGCAACAAACACAAAAGTAACATTGCCTTATCTTCATTCTCAACCATGATGTCCACATTGGACATATCTGAAAGTAAATTCGTGAAGTTATTTACATGCTCCCTAATAGAAACTCTCCTCTTCATTTTGAACTGGTAAAACCTCTTCTTCAAGTAAAGCCGATTGTCAATGCTCTTCGTAAGATACTTTTCATTAAGCGTTTTCCACAATCTCTTCATCGACGTCTCTTTCATCACATCATAAATAAGATCTGACGTCAAGCATGACTGAATAACTCCACAAGCCCTACATTCATCTTCTTCCAAACATTGTCCTCCATGTCTTCAGGTTTCTCTTGTAACTCAAGAGTCTCCTCCAAATTCTATGCATCTAACGCATCCATCACCTGGTACCTCCACAAACCGAAATTGATCTTTTCATCGAACTTTGAAATATCAATATTTGTATTATTGATGCTCACACTCTGTATCGCCTTTGTAAGAGACGACCCTGATGTGCTTTCTTCTCCCATGTTGTAGATCTAACTCTCTAAGTAAGAATCCTTCAGCGAATCATTCGAACAAGCCCCAAGCCAAACCCGAAGCTCTGCTACCACTTATTGTGCGCAACAGAACTCAAAAGTCAAATAGTGAACGAATAAGAACGAGAAAGATCACAACCAAAACACAAGCACAAATCACAATCACAGCAAGAAAAACCAATTTACATGGTTTGACAAGTTACCTACGTCCACGGGGCAAGGAGGGGGGAGTTTTTACTATTAGAGATAAAGAGAATTACAAATAGGATTTTAAATCTCACCAAAAACCCTCAAACAAAGCTCTCTATATCTCTCACAAATCCTCCCACAGAGGATGCAACAATCCTTTCTCAAAGACAGCTCAAATCGTCCTTACTTTATCTTAATTAATCAGATTTAGGGTATATATCAGCTCATAACGAAACGGGTCTGAAATCCAAACCCAACTCAAAACCCGATTGGCGGTCGACTGTCAAATTCGTCGCGATCGACCGTCCAAGAATTGACAGAAACAAAAAATATTACAGGGTTTGGCCGGTCGACCGCGGCAGTCGACCGTCCCAACTCTAGAAATCTGCTTCGACCTATGCACGTTTCCGGTCAACCGCAACTGATTTCGCGATCGACCGACAAGCTTTCAGACTGTTTTTCTGAGCTTCTTCAACATTGTTGGCCAATCTTACATATAGAACAAGGGTTAATTTGCTGATAGGCCCAATTGCGGATGGCCCCAACCTAAGTTTTATTGTTGCAGATAAACCCCCGGATTGAATTTTTCTTTATAAGTCATCTTTTAGCCCCAGAGAAAGAGGAGAAAAAATCCCTCAACTAGGCGTCCTAAGGGAAATTCACCCAGGGGGTTTATCTGCAACAATAGAACTCTAGGGGTTTCCATCCGCAATTAGGCAATAGTATTGGGTCTTTTCCCAAATTAACCCTTGAAAACCATCCGCATCGTTCGCAGATGCACACGCGAAAACCTATTGCCACCGGACCGTTGAAAGCTCACAGTATGCGTGGAAAAGAAACCAGGCATATGGACACAGACAATGACACATCATCAACAACTTAAACACGGACGACAACAAAATAGAACCATCAACTGCATTATCGCTCCTACGTACAGGCACACCTTACTCAATTAGGATTGAATGCGAATTAGGAGCTGGGGCACCAACAGCTGCTGTAACATTTTCAGAGAAATCCAACTGGTATTGAATTAATGACAGCCCCCCACTACTCAGACATCTGCAAAATGCACAGCTAGCACATCACTACTCCCACCTACACAATCTCTCTCCTCTCTCTCTCTCTCTCTCTCTCTCTCTCTCTCTCTCATATGTATGGATCAAAATAATAATACTTTTACTTGCATAGCCTAAGTCTAATCTTCTAAAACTTGTTCAAAGATGAAGGTCTTCTCTCCTCTATTAGCACTTCATCCTCTTGACTTCTTCCTACATCCAAGCTCCCCTTCCTGACTTAGATAACAAAAAATTCAGTAACAAAGAAACCGTTTAGTGTGAGGTTAAAGCAATGAGGGTTAAACTTTTAACATGGTAATTATTACCTAGAACAGTTTGCGGAGGGGAATATTCTAGTGTTTAATGTAACATGTCATAAGGGTTAAAATTAAACGCAAAAGGATCTCCACTGCTCTCAACTCAAAATGCATAAATTACAAAAAGACCCCTCAAAATATTAAACTTATAAACAATCTCCTCAAAAATCTGACAATTATAAAAAGCCTCATGCACAACTCAAAATTTGTAGAAAATACCCTAGCAGTTTAAAGAATTGCAGGAAAAACGATCAAAAATTCAAAAATAATAAAAACACCCTAAAAAATTCAAACCTATAAAAAATTACATTGACAATATAGGATTACAAACATCCCCATGAAAGTTTTGGAATTTGCGGAAGAAACACTTGGAAGTTTCAAAAATTACAAAAACACCCTCAAATGTTCAAAATTTATATAGAAAACACCCTGAAAAGATCAAGACTTACAAAAAAACTAATATTTTGTAAATTTTGATTTTGAGGGTGTTTTATGCAATTTTCTAAATTTTTAGGGTGTTTTTTGTAATTTTCTTAACTTTCAGTTTTTTTGCACATTTCAAATTTATAAAATTTTTAGTTTACTGTTTGTATCTTTGAACTTTTCAGGGTGTCTTTCATAACTTGTTAATATTTGTGAGTGTCTATTGCAATTTCTGAAACTTTTGGATTGTTTTCTTCAAAGTCCAAATTTTCAAGATGTTGTTTGCAATCCTATATTGTCAGTATACTGTTACAGGTGTGGGTTTTTTTTAAGTTTTGAAGTATGAGGGTGTTTTTTGTAATTTGCAAAACCTCCAAGGTGTTTTTTGTATATATCAAAAATTTTAGGGATTTTTTTTAATTCATATATTTTCAGTGTATTGTTTGTTGGATTGAAATTCTTAGGGTGTCTTTTATAAAATTTAAAATTTGAGGGTGTTTTTATAATTTATAAAACTTTCAGGACGTTTTTTGCAAATTTCAATTTGAGGCTGTTTGGAGTTTCTAGAATTTCAATATACTGTTTGTAAATTTTGAAATTTTTAGGTTTTTATAATTTCCAAAAATTTTAGAGTGTTTTCCAAATTTTTAAAACTTTTAGGTAGTCATTCTGCAAATTTTAACTTTTGTCGGGGGCTGTTTGTATGTTTTAAAATTTTTAGTGTTTTTTCCTAAGTTTTTAGAACTTTTTAGGGGAATTTTGTAATTCCACATGCTTAAATGAATTAAGCCTCAAATTTTCACCTCTTTTTCTCCAATCCCTGAACTTGGTTAAAAATTTACCCTCCTATGGGGTTAAATTAAACTTTATCCTTGGTAAAGTTTTAGAAGGACAATATGGGTTACGATGAGAAAAAGTTTGAATTTTACCCGCTTTACCCATGTACCAACCAAGCCCAAAGTTCATGTTATGTGTAGTGTTTAGTGCCTACGTACATCAACGTTGTGCTATGATCTTGTTCAGGTTTTTGTGACGGCAAACGCAAGGTGAGATGCTCAAAAGCAAGCATCAGAGACAACCGCCTTCAGTATTGTGGACTTCGCTGCGCTCAGCGCCGTTGTGCTCCCTCTGGGACTTACCGGCAACAAGGATGAGTGCCCTCGTTACAAAGACAAGACCACCGGCGTTGGCAAGAGAATGAGACCCTAGTGCCCTCAATTCTGCCGTTAGGCTCATCAGTCATCAGAGGCTTTGTTGTTCCTACATACATCATGTAGCGAGATGTGAATGAGTTGTATGGCATTCTAGAGTTTGCAGCTAGATTGTGTGTGAAACTATGGAGTGTGATTGAGTGCACTAAATAAAAATAATAGCTTAGATGATTTTAGATGGAGAGCATTCGGTGGATCTTCGATTGTTGCACGTAAGAAACCAAGGGACGCAACAAATGGGCCAAAGAAAATCATCAGCAAGCCTAGACACCATGATTATTCCCTAAAAGACACGTGATATACACAAATAAAGTAGATCTTCGTACTGGATTAATTACTACTAGTTTGAAGTAGCACTTGGAACCAAGTCACAGTTGATCTCAGTCAATCTAGACACTGATCCAAGTTTAACACCAAAACCAATTATCTAACAAAATCAGCTGGAAAAAATTGGGATCTCACAATTTGTTCGTGATGAATCAACCATTTAGAACCTAACAGCTAAATGTTACGTCGTATCTCTTCTCTCATTCATGGCTTGAAGCCCTGAAAGTTGATAGATGAAGGGTATTTAATGCAGAAGTTATAGTGCCATATTGCTGTTAGGTAAACGTAGTCCCCTCAAATTTTTTTTATGGTTAAGAAGTAGATAACGTGCATAATAGAAATTTCAGATATTTGGTCACTGGATTCTTGTACCCCTCCTTGAGCTCGAAAGGAGATTGGACCCCTCAAGTCTATTATGGAAGAAACATGATCCGATAAATTAAAAAGTAGTCAGCATCCTATGCATCTTTTCCTGCAGGTATGAACGCATGAACCCCTGGCTATGTTCTCATTGCATAAAGTGAAAAAGACGATAGGTATCCAAAAATGAAGGTATGCAAATGGCAAGGGGTCCTAGGGAATCTAGTATGGACCATACAGACTGGAATTTTCCCGATATTTCGTCGTTTCACGGATCACTTGGAAGGTTCAGTCTGCTGGAAGCCGAGAACAGAGGCATTTTGGCCAATTTGTATCTGAAAACAGACATTTACATCGGACGTGTGATCGTAGATTCCCATTTTAGCGTACTGAAATCAAGTTGTTGGAATAATTTTTTACAATTTTCTAACGATTAAACGAACTGTCGAACCCTCTGAACAGGCTTCTAGGTAATGTTTAGATGTAGATCAAAACATCATAACATCATAACTTGTAGAACTATAGGAAAGTTGGTAAAAGGAATTGACAAGTAACATGAGGTCTTCAAACTGATAAAAGAAAAATTCTCTCCCCAACTTTTCAGAAAGGAAATATTCCCAAAAAAACATCCTAAAGGCGCAAAGAAATGTAATACTGTCGATACATAGTTTAATACGTCAGCAGAAAGGAAGGGCAAGCGAGTAAAAAGTATCCAGTAAAGAATGTGATGGATCAAAAGGTTACGTTACGAAATCTCAAAATAATCTCCAGAATGTGAAGCGAAACAAGTAAAGCTAATGGTAGCGTGGGGAGAGAGGACATAAACAATCTCAATAAAAGAACAGAAGACAAAGCTGAATCAATTGTTAAGGACACTTTTCCCGGGAAATTTCTAATAAACTTGTGCCTGTGATTCTGGCGCTCCACAATATTTTGGACCATTTGCTTTCTACTCATCTTTCAGAAAAGAAAACAATCTTTCACGGGTTTTTATGTACTACAAGTTGTTGGTTTCCTTCTTTATGTTTATGTTTGCGCTAGTAATTAGTAGAATAAACTTCGAAGGATATTAACATCCAATACTAAGGTAGCTCCATGCACGTTGATCACAAATTAATAATTTATGGTAAACGATAAACATACAAATTCCTACAAACATAAAGATTAGTTATTTAACGAATTTGGGTGTACAAAAATTGGTTGAGAACAAATGATGTAAGATCTCACTAATGTAACCTGATGTTCTTGAGGTAAAGCATCTTAGCATCTCCAACAAAAGAAAATGATTGAGTGCACAACTGATGCAATATTATCAAATAAGCATATTACTACTGGAAAAAGAGCCCTACACAAATATCATAATCATTAATATGCACTTGACACAATATCCAAAAAGAAAATACATAAAACAATTGGCAAAACTTCCTACGGTACATAGCAATCCTAGTTAAAAAAAAACACATCCTCTCATACTTCTCTATAAATATCCAATTCAAGTATAAAGAACAACAGCCAGCAGCTTACAGAACGATCCTCCTAGTCTATAGCAACTTCTCCGCTATCTGTACTGCATTCAAGGCAGCCCCTTTGCGTATCTGATCTCCACAGACAAATATGTCCAACCTATAACAAAGTTACGAAAATTAAGATTCCTTCACTCTATGGATAAAAGAATAGTGTTGTCTTGCCAGAGGAAAAGATTTATCTGGTTTTTTTTTCTTTTCTTTTTACTTGAAATAAATTAAAAATGAAATAAACAATGCAAGGAAGCCATGAGTTCTGGCAATTTTAAGGTGAATTCCCTATTATGCAGAACACATCATAAACCTTCCATAATGTTTCTTGAGATAGAGCACCCATATGTCTCATCCACTTGGAACAATATCAGACATGAAATGACACGTTTCCTGATCTAAATATTTTTCATGGCATAATCATGTTACTTAGGCCAAGAAAAGTGATGCACGATATGTTACCGCTAAATGATGAATATAAATGCTTCAAATTTGGAAACATGGAAATACATTTTAATAGGTTAAGATAATGGAACCAAGAAGCCCCAACCATTGTCAAAACCATGATAGTGCAAAGTGAAGAAGTAAGATAATAAAGCTAAATATTGAAGTATATCTTACCCGTGGTTGCCCTCTTGGGATAAATCTTGACGGATCCGACCCACTGCAACATCATCTTTTTTTGATACCTACAGTTGATAGAAAACAAAAAGGGGGTCAAATTCAAGATGTCCTCAAGGACTTGAGATTTATAGTTCATCTATTTTTATGAGAGAAAGATAATAACCTCCAATGGCGTAGGGAAGAGATTGGACGCCCTATCATCAATGACAACCACCCCAGCAGCTTCCTTAAGGATTCTCCTTGCAGTATCCTATACGACAAACACACAAACTAACGTCAGAGTTCGTCATGTGAATAATTGTCGCATCTGGCCTGAAGTATTCTGGTTATAGAAGGAAAACAGCATAGAAATTGAATTTTAATTGAAAATCATTTGACAAAACAAGCAAATAACCTGATTTAAAAAAGACCAACTTATGAACAAATATAAACTCTAGTAGACTCTACATGTTGTGAAGAGAAGTTTGAGAGGAAAAACACAAGGAGTGGATCTTATCAGCAGAGAGCTTTTATTTCATGTCTAAAAATATTCTTGGCACCTGATCATTAACTACAGTTATGTCTAAGACAGAAGTCACATATCAATAGTGCTGGTGAATGTCAAACTATGGGCTTTTAAATCTGAGACCTAATGGCCTTTGAACTCAATAAGAAACATTAGGCAGATAACAGATAATTAGCAAAAAAGGTACACTAATTAAAACATGAGTTGTCATTCCATAATGTATTTTCACTCATCCACTGTATTTGTTCAGGTTATGTATCAAGCACTGCTTGCAGTATAAAATTGGAAGAAACCAAAGCTGAATCGAGTAAAACAAGCTTAGACTTGCGGTCAGTAAACCAAGCACAAATTTAAAAAAGTGATAGAAACTCCAATTTCGTAACTACTTAGCCCTAAGCTAACGCTGATGAGTTTTGGTTCAAATGTTCATAGGTCTTTAAAAAAAGGTTGAAAAATGATCCACCTTTGCATGATACTTTGGACCACATGGAAACACCTGCATAGTATCATTCTCTTGAAAAGAAAAAACTGTAGGGATAGGCAAACATATTTTGAACTGCTTTGCAAAATCTAAATATCAGATACCATATGGCAGAGAACAACTTAACCAAGGTTGTTTTCTAAAGGTCAAGAAATTTAAGTAGTTCTACTGTAAGCACTACAGTTTGATGCGTTATTAATAAATTTTGAAGATCTATATTTCATTTCAATGAATTTCATTACTGTTAAGAAGTTTGACATGTGCTTCTTTTCATGTTAACCAAAAAATTGATAATTAGTATCCCTCGATTCTGATTACTTTCTTGTCCTCTTACTAACCACCAGTGGAACAGTTTTTAAGTCAAGTCAGGACCTACACAAATGAACAGACAAGATATGCTGAAACATTCAGGGGGCATAACACTACATTTTCCTCCAGTTCCCAGACTGAGGACATCAACCAGGTATGAGTTAGGGAATAGACCCTCATGAAAAGTTTGAAAACTTGCACCAGCTTATCACGACATAAATACCAAGCTACCACTAAGTGAGTGACTTGATATAAATAAAAATTTACACAAAATGAAAAGAAAGGTTCTTGAAGCATCAGTTATAAAAGTTGAAGCATCAGTTATAAAAGTTTTAGAGGTCCATGTCTTAATCAGCTCAATTGCTTCTACAACAAAGATAGGCATCTAGAACATTTTGATGAACACAAAACACATCTAAATAGTCGGTATGATTTGTTTGCAAAATGTAAGGAGGTAATGAATGCCAAATAATTTTGCAAAGGCTTGGTCACAGCAGCATTCTCAGGTAAGTTAACTATAAACAAATCTATTAATTCAACTTCTTATAATATACACTAGACGACATCAATAGATGTATAAATGGAAAACTGAAAACATAGTTGACATCAATAGATGTATAAATGGAAAACTGAAAACATAGTTATAAATGGCAAGAAGCCTACTGTATACAGTTGGCAGCAATGAAAAAAATGACCATTGTCTGTTTTGCTCAACCCATCATACTGAAATAAGAAGGCCCGTTTACTGTCTGCAGGAACAGTAGTTTCTACAAATTGAATTGGTTGTGAATTGTGCAACATAAGAGAGACAGAAAGAGAATGAACATGGAAATTTGTTGGTAGATTAACTATTTAGCTGCAATAAATTGATCTTAAGCTTCCCATTCAACCTATGCTTACTAATAAAATTCTATTTGCTAACTTTATCAACACTATCACACTAGTCAAATAGGCAGGTAAGGAGGGAGATCGTATGCCAAAATACTATGAGATTAAGGTTTTAAATGGCAGCCGACATGTCAGATATGGCGGTGATATGTCATGTCAGTTTGGAGCTCCAACACCGTGATATCACGCTGCTGATGCTGTATGGCATGGCATTTGAGGATAAATATTGGGACATGTTTGGCTATGTCAGACATGTCGGCCGATATTGTCGGCCTCGTAATATCGGCCAATATGCTAATTTTTAAGACCTTATTCTTTTTGAGCTTATGTTTAAAACCCAAAACACAAACCTAATTATCCAATGGTTATATTCCCAAGTAAAAGGAGCTGATAGTCAAGTCTAAGGTAAAATTGTGCCCCAAAAAAACTGCTTGACTCCTACTCATTTGCTTCCTCTCGAAGGTGAAATCAATTGAGCACTCACCGTTAAATTTCGACATTGGATTGAGGTTTCGATGATGAAGGGTTTTAGGGTCTCCCTACCTCCCTCCCTCCCTCGTTCGCTTTCTCTTACAATCGAGAAACAAGTTTCTAGAATTATTTTGTGATCCTAAACATCATATGTTATGTTTAGACTATAGATTTTTATTAAGTATATTTAGATTGCATTTAGGATTATATATGCACACCGTCTGATATGACAATCAAATATTTACTACATATCACTGATATTTTCCTAATGCCCACAATCCAACATGGATTTTAGCCGTCTAACATGTTTCCAACACCCGACATTTAATACCTTGTATGAGATACATTCATATACTGAGTTTACAATAGTGGTAAAAGGAATCAAGCTTGGGCATGTAATGCCCTGTGATAGTGGGTGCACAACATATTAGTGCCTTCTGACTTTGGATGCAATAATTTAGTATCATGTAATGCTGGATACAAGCAGCTAAAACCAAGCAGTGACTATATTTCGTGACATCTATTGTGCCTGTCACTTAAGTGGTACTAGAGATGTCACTAGCCTAAATTTTTGGAGTTTGGATGGAAGGTGCGTCCAGAGTAGAATAATTGTACAAGACAATTTGTTTGGAGATGTTAGTCTCGATGGAACATGAAATAATATTGGTGAACTGGACAGCACTACTACCAGCACAAGGTATATATGGGAACGGATTTATTTGATGGTCATGGAATGGCTGTTCTCTGGGACTCCACTCCCACAGAAGTCAGAACCCTTGACCTTTCGCTGCTATGATCTCATTACTGCCCCTCGAATCTGCCATATGGTTATTTGTACTTCCTTCAATCGTCTAATTTCTCCAGCTCATAGTGACCAAAAAAACAACCCTGCCATAATCCTTGCCCATTGACTTGTGACAGACTGCTTCCCCTCCCCTGACGTCTCCTGATTGTAAGTATAGTGCCATAGATTGGGTGAGCCAGGCTATGGATTTTAGGTCTCTTGGAACCTGACTCGCCAGACATGTTTCTTTCTAGGTTTTTCCCTTTCGGCAGACTTATCATTTCAATCACTTATTCTTGGTTGATTTTGTTGGTTGCTTGAAAACTAACGGTTGGCGAGGATTAATGTGAGAAAGTAAAGATTGTCTGTTTAATGCACAATTTTTTTGATTGATTTTATAGATACTCGAGTATATAAATTTCTGAAATTTGAACTGTCACATAAGAAAGAGATTGATATGTTGATTATTAATAAATATAACAGGGGCGATTAGATGGTTTCTGTTACATTATTGTCATTGGTGTCCTAGACAATTTGTTCGTGGGAAGGGAGGCATGGGGGTGATGATGGGTGTATCTCTTGGATGCAGCCGTTTGACACAGAGAGAGTACTTTACGCTGAACCAAACTGTCTCGGCCACCATATCCTTGAAAGTATTAAATTAATTTAATAATTAAACTAACATCCATTATCCATTTCTGTAGTTTCTAAATCGTTCTTATCTATATTATTAGACAGCTTTAAGAAATGAAAATGGAAGGGAGGGAGGGAGGGGGAGAGAGAGAGAGAAGTTTGTACGTTAAAGATGTACAAATAATATACAAACAACAAAGACTTTAGAGAAAATACTAATCTCCCATCAGTATTTTTTTTCCAAAACAAATACTGTGTTTTTTTTCCAAAACAAATACTTCTCAAGTCATTTTTCCTTTCTCCTCTTGTTGGAGTATGCATATCATGCTAGACTATGAAAATAATATATTGCAGAGAGGTGAATTTCTTTTAGGGATACATAAAATAGTAAAAGATTCATAATCTTAGTTGTGGATCCTAACTGAATCTACCAAAGATCTAGTAAAAATATTTCAATGTTTTACATGCATGATATATGCATTGCTAGTATATTTGGGTGTACGTGAACTTGTTATGATCTAAAAAGGTTGTTTTAGATAATATTTTCAGACCTTCGAAAATAAAATAAGGTAAGTACAAATAACTGAACCATAATGCCTAATACAGATATTTCATCTGAAACCTGCAAACTGTTTACTAAAACCTTACCTCATCGAGTGGCTTATCAAATTGCAGGTTGACACTTTCAGCATGTGCACGCATCACAGGAACCCTTATGCAAGTAGCAGTCACTTTAACATCATTGTCATTCTACATCAAAATGTGTTGATAACAAAGATCAGATTGATTAAACTTGAATAGTGAAAAGAAAACACAAAATAATAAAAAATAAATTAAACATAGTACCAAAAGCAATTACCCAAATTTTTCTCGTCTCCTTCACTAGCTTCATTTCCTCCTCATTATACCCGTTCGAGAGAACTGGTGCATTATGTGAGAACAAATTAAACGCGTACTGCATAAACAGATTAACATGTCAAGCTTAGTGTCAAGACTACTCAACGCATACTACTTTCATTAAAGGACATGACCAACAGAAATTACCTGCTGTTTGAAGATGTTGCAAGTGGGCTCTTTGCCTTCCAATACCTAGAAGACAGACAAATATTAGCTTGGCAAAACAAGATAGATAATGCACAGTGATTACTGAAAATAGAAAGAAGAGTCCTATAAAGAAGTGACACCTCACGAGTCTGAAGTTCAAGCTCTTCCATTGCTGCTGCACCTGCACCACTAGCTGCTTGATAGGTACTAACAACCATTCTCACAACCTTTACATGTGAAAAGAGAAAGATAACCAAGAACTTATATACAGCAGTTATATCTGTTTACAAACACAGAAGCAACTAAGAGGGACGAAGGCAGCAACTAAATTCTCAGGAATGATTCAATTTCTACAAAATTAACCTTTGAAGAGAAAACTATGATAACAGAGTATGCCTAAAGTGATGGTTTTTTGCTTTGGTAATGGGGGGCTAAAGTGTGTATAACTTTTAAAACCTCAAAAGGGTTTCTGACATTCCTTATAAAAACAAGGACCTTTTTATAATTTATATATAAACAAAAGGGTTTACCATTAGAATGTCTTTTCATAGCTACGGTATAGAATTAAATTATATAAAATTTTGTACAATACCAACACGAAGAGGATACATGGCCCAGCGATATAGTATACCCAATTAAAGCTTATATGACCTGATGGTCACGAGTACAATTCAGGGCTCTGTCTTCTCTTCCTTTTTTTTCTTTTTTCCTTTTTTTTTCGCTCCTTTTCTATCTATTTAATAAACCCTCGAATCATTAAAATTGATGTTAAGTCCCACAATTCTTAATTTAATGCAATTTGGCCCTCAAATCATCAAAATTTCTATCAAACTAGTCCCTTCAATCAAGAGTAGAAATTGTAATTAGAGGGAAATTACTCTCTCAAATCCTAAAAGTTTTCTATGAGGTACTGATACATTTCAAATTAGTCTCTAATTACTATTTGTGCGCTTCATGGAAGGGACTAATTTCTAAATAACATAAGAATTGAGCGACATAACAACAACTTTAACGACTTGAGAAACTACATCAAAATAATTTAGGAATTGAGGGACTCCATAGAAATTTCAATGATTTGAAGGGCTAATTCAAAATAAGAAAGATTTAAGGGTCTAATAATGGAAAAAATCCTTTTCTAAACCACTCACTTCAAAACAATTTACCTGTAAGCCCAAAGTTTTAGGTCATTTGTTTTTAAATCCACCCATTTCCGAAGTCTCTTTTTGACCCATCAAAATATCCCGCCTAAATAAACTCATAGCTTTAACACCCCCCCACCCACCACCCACCCACACACACAAAGAAAAAATATTTTAAACTCACCTACTTTTAAAATTACATTTACACACAAAAAATCACTGAATTACTTTCAAACTCACTTTGTATTTAAATAAGTAGATATACATTGAAAGTTGCTATACAGTTTGAGTTGCTATGTTCAGATGTAACTTTGCAATATTGTGCCTACATGCACGTTATATTTTTAAAACCAAATACTTTAACCGTTTAGTTTTTTTGAAAAATGTTATGTCGTTTTTGCCTATAAAACCCAAAGTTTTACTCACAAATATTTGTGAACCCCCTTAGTTCGAAACCAAGATTTTTGCCTATAAATCCAAGGTTTCACTACTATTTGTTCTTAAACTCACTCACTACAATAATCACTATTAAACCAAAAATATTTCATTGGATTATTTTTAAATGCACTTCATATTTCAGCAGTATGATATACGGTGTAAGTTGTTGTGTTTTGCTGTAATTTTAACTCAAATGTTTAAACTATTATTTATTTGTCTCTTTTCACACTAATGTCATAGCAACACGCAGGTCAATTTTGTTCGTTTACTGAGAAAATTATTGAAAACTTCAACAAAATTGAAAAAACAAATCTGTTAGATTTTCTGAAAATTTTTAAAAATTATCAAACTCCTTTCAGGAAATTACAGTTGTTATAGAACCATAATAAACATACACGGATTCCTCAATATGTGGTCACCAGAACAAACATTTTCAGAATTTATAGAACCCGGATAGCTCCATAATGAGGAAATGTTTTTCAAAATAGTCAACGATACAAGATCTTTTATTTCCAGAAATAAGTTAAAAAGATGGGTCTTTTACACACAAAACCTAGCTCCAACACAACCAACAGTCCAAATCCAATCCCAAAATCAAATATTTCCCAACAAAAATCAATTACCTTCGCGTGCCGATGTAGAGGAGTAGCGGCCATCAAGCAAATAATCGTCGAACAATTCGGGTTCGCGATCAACGCCCCCTTCCCCGCTCTCCCCTTCAGCTTAATATGCGACATCGCCGCCGAATTCACCTCCGGTATGATCAGTGGCACATTAGGATCCATCCGAAACGCCGAGCTATTGTCAACCACGATAGCTCCTTTCTCCGCCGCAACGGGCCCCATCTCCTTACTGATGGACCCACCAGCGCTGAACAGGGCAATGTCTACGCCGTCAAAGCTCTCAGGTTTCAGCTCTTCGACGGTATACTCTCGGTCTTCAAAGGTGAGTTTTTTACCGGCTGAGCGGCGACTGGCTAGCATCTTGTGTACGTTAAAGATGTACAAATAATATACAAACAACAAAGACTTTAGAGAAAATACTAATCTCCCATCAGTATTTTTTTTCCAAAACAAATACTGTGTTTTTTTTCCAAAACAAATACTTCTCAAGTCATTTTTCCTTTCTCCTCTTGTTGGAGTATGCATATCATGCTAGACTATGAAAATAATATATTGCAGAGAGGTGAATTTCTTTTAGGGATACATAAAATAGTAAAAGATTCATAATCTTAGTTGTGGATCCTAACTGAATCTACCAAAGATCTAGTAAAAATATTTCAATGTTTTACATGCATGATATATGCATTGCTAGTATATTTGGGTGTACGTGAACTTGTTATGATCTAAAAAGGTTGTTTTAGATAATATTTTCAGACCTTCGAAAATAAAATAAGGTAAGTACAAATAACTGAACCATAATGCCTAATACAGATATTTCATCTGAAACCTGCAAACTGTTTACTAAAACCTTACCTCATCGAGTGGCTTATCAAATTGCAGGTTGACACTTTCAGCATGTGCACGCATCACAGGAACCCTTATGCAAGTAGCAGTCACTTTAACATCATTGTCATTCTACATCAAAATGTGTTGATAACAAAGATCAGATTGATTAAACTTGAATAGTGAAAAGAAAACACAAAATAATAAAAAATAAATTAAACATAGTACCAAAAGCAATTACCCAAATTTTTCTCGTCTCCTTCACTAGCTTCATTTCCTCCTCATTATACCCGTTCGAGAGAACTGGTGCATTATGTGAGAACAAATTAAACGCGTACTGCATAAACAGATTAACATGTCAAGCTTAGTGTCAAGACTACTCAACGCATACTACTTTCATTAAAGGACATGACCAACAGAAATTACCTGCTGTTTGAAGATGTTGCAAGTGGGCTCTTTGCCTTCCAATACCTAGAAGACAGACAAATATTAGCTTGGCAAAACAAGATAGATAATGCACAGTGATTACTGAAAATAGAAAGAAGAGTCCTATAAAGAAGTGACACCTCACGAGTCTGAAGTTCAAGCTCTTCCATTGCTGCTGCACCTGCACCACTAGCTGCTTGATAGGTACTAACAACCATTCTCACAACCTTTACATGTGAAAAGAGAAAGATAACCAAGAACTTATATACAGCAGTTATATCTGTTTACAAACACAGAAGCAACTAAGAGGGACGAAGGCAGCAACTAAATTCTCAGGAATGATTCAATTTCTACAAATAACCTTTGAGAAGAGAAAACTATGATAACAGAGTATGCCTAAAGTGATGGTTTTTTGCTTTGGTAATGGGGGGCTAAAGTGTGTATAACTTTTAAAACCTCAAAAGGGTTTCTGACATTCCTTATAAAAACAAGGACCTTTTTATAATTTATATATAAACAAAAGGGTTTACCATTAGAATGTCTTTTCATAGCTACGGTATAGAATTAAATTATATAAAATTTTGTACAATACCAACACGAAGAGGATACATGGCCCAGCGATATAGTATACCCAATTAAAGCTTATATGACCTGATGGTCACGAGTACAATTCAGGGCTCTGTCTTCTCTTCCTTTTTTTTCTTTTTTCCTTTTTTTTTCGCTCCTTTTCTATCTATTTAATAAACCCTCGAATCATTAAAATTGATGTTAAGTCCCACAATTCTTAATTTAATGCAATTTGGCCCTCAAATCATCCCTCAAATCACTGAAATTGCTATTAGGCCCTCCAATTCTTAATTTATTCTGAAATTAGTCCCTTCAACAAGAGTAAAAATAGCAACTAGAGGGAAATTAGTCTATCATATCCCTAATAGAAATCAATTCCTAATACAATTAGCATTTAGTCCCTCAAATCACTGAAATTGCTATTAGGCCCTCCAATTCTTAATTTATTCTGAAATTAGTCCCTTCAACAAGAGTAAAAATAGCAACTAGAGGGAAATTAGTCTATCATATCCCTAATAGAAATCAATTCCTAATACAATTAGTCCCTCAAATCACCGAAATTTTTATTTTGGAACTAGTCCCTTCAATCAAGAGTAGAAATTGTAATTAGAGGGAAATTACTCTCTCAAATCCTAAAAGTTTTCTATGAGGTACTGATACATTTCAAATTAGTCTCTAATTACTATTTGTGCGCTTCATGGAAGGGACTAATTTCTAAATAACATAAGAATTGAGCGACATAACAACAACTTTAACGACTTGAGAAACTACATCAAAATAATTTAGGAATTGAGGGACTCCATAGAAATTTCAATGATTTGAAGGGCTAATTCAAAATAAGAAAGATTTAAGGGTCTAATAATGGAAAAAATCCTTTTCTAAACCACTCACTTCAAAACAATTTACCTGTAAGCCCAAAGTTTTAGGTCATTTGTTTTTAAATCCACCCATTTCCGAAGTCTCTTTTTGACCCATCAAAATATCCCGCCTAAATAAACTCATAGCTTTAACACCCCCCCACCCACCACCCACCCACACACACAAAGAAAAAATATTTTAAACTCACCTACTTTTAAAATTACATTTACACACAAAAAATCACTGAATTACTTTCAAACTCACTTTGTATTTAAATAAGTAGATATACATTGAAAGTTGCTATACAGTTTGAGTTGCTATGTTCAGATGTAACTTTGCAATATTGTGCCTACATGCACGTTATATTTTTAAAACCAAATACTTTAACCGTTTAGTTTTTTTGAAAAATGTTATGTCGTTTTTGCCTATAAAACCCAAAGTTTTACTCACAAATATTTGTGAACCCCCTTAGTTCGAAACCAAGATTTTTGCCTATAAATCCAAGGTTTCACTACTATTTGTTCTTAAACTCACTCACTACAATAATCACTATTAAACCAAAAATATTTCATTGGATTATTTTTAAATGCACTTCATATTTCAGCAGTATGATATACGGTGTAAGTTGTTGTGTTTTGCTGTAATTTTAACTCAAATGTTTAAACTATTATTTATTTGTCTCTTTTCACACTAATGTCATAGCAACACGCAGGTCAATTTTGTTCGTTTACTGAGAAAATTATTGAAAACTTCAACAAAATTGAAAAAACAAATCTGTTAGATTTTCTGAAAATTTTTAAAAATTATCAAACTCCTTTCAGGAAATTACAGTTGTTATAGAACCATAATAAACATACACGGATTCCTCAATATGTGGTCACCAGAACAAACATTTTCAGAATTTATAGAACCCGGATAGCTCCATAATGAGGAAATGTTTTTCAAAATAGTCAACGATACAAGATCTTTTATTTCCAGAAATAAGTTAAAAAGATGGGTCTTTTACACACAAAACCTAGCTCCAACACAACCAACAGTCCAAATCCAATCCCAAAATCAAATATTTCCCAACAAAAATCAATTACCTTCGCGTGCCGATGTAGAGGAGTAGCGGCCATCAAGCAAATAATCGTCGAACAATTCGGGTTCGCGATCAACGCCCCCTTCCCCGCTCTCCCCTTCAGCTTAATATGCGACATCGCCGCCGAATTCACCTCCGGTATGATCAGTGGCACATTAGGATCCATCCGAAACGCCGAGCTATTGTCAACCACGATAGCTCCTTTCTCCGCCGCAACGGGCCCCATCTCCTTACTGATGGACCCACCAGCGCTGAACAGGGCAATGTCTACGCCGTCAAAGCTCTCAGGTTTCAGCTCTTCGACGGTATACTCTCGGTCTTCAAAGGTGAGTTTTTTACCGGCTGAGCGGCGACTGGCTAGCATCTTTTGATAGGAATTTGTAAGCCGGTAAAGTCGCGGTCGGGCAGAGGACGGAGAGCAGAATTTCTTGACGGACTGGCGCCGGCTGACGCGTACAACGGCCGACCCGGTGGAGGCCTGTCCTCAGAGAGGAGGGGACATGCGGACGGCTGTTGACGGTATCCGGCGGCCGTATTGAAGGGGGTTTGAGTAATGGCGGCAAGAGGCGGGCCGTGAATGAGGACGAAGGGAGTGGAGGCAGGTGGAGCGCACAGCCGATCGCTGCAATTCTCATACTCTCTCTCTCTCTGTCTCTCTCTCTCTCTCTCTTTTTGGGTCCTGGCTGCGGCGCGAATGAGGGAGGAAGAAGAGAGTGAGGGGGTGAGGTTACCGGAGCAAAGAGGTTTAGGGTTTGCGATTTTGGGCCAGTGGGCGTAATCCGTGGGCCTGAATTCTGAGCATTCCATGGTAGTACTGATTTTTTTTTTTTTTTTAATACTTCCCTGCGGACCCAAAATTCATTGGACGAGAGACGAGATGAGACATGTTGCGATTCCAACTAAGACCAAAGACTATCATGAAAATCGGTCTAACAAGAGCCTATTTGGTTCGTTTTCTTTATTTTTCAAAAAATAATTTCTCTTCACTTTTTTGTGTTTTTTTCATTTTCATGGAAAGCGTTTCTTGTGTTTGTTTCGTCAAAAAATATGGGCTGAAAGTATTTTTCACCATTTTTCTTAGTTTGGTTCAACTTGAAAAAAAGAAGAAAACAATTGATGTGTAAATAGATTCCCTCATTTTCTAGTGTTTTGTTCAAACTAAAAAAATCAAGAAAACTTGATTGTGGTCACCATGGTGTGATTACCACACATATAAGACAAAATATTAACAACAAAAATTGAGGCACACAAAATATAATGTAATGCACTCAATTGGCTACAAATTCAGAATGCAAGCACACATTACCTGAAAATTCAGAAGGCAAGCACACAATTCGTCTGAAACCAACTCGACTAAAACCAAACCAACTTTGGCCAAACCAAGTCTGAAAATATCCAAGACTGAACCAAGGCTGAAACCAACTCGAGAGAAACCAAGACTCGAACAGCCCAATATTGAAATCAAACCAAAGTTATCACAATTTATAGAAAATATGCTCAGAAAAGACCCTTTTCTTCATTATCTGCCTCGTCATGAAGTTTATAATAGCAACGTTGGTTGCATTTATTGCCTCGCCAATTGATTACTAGTATAAACTCCGGTTGCATACATTATATATCCGGCCATCATCATAGCATAATATCACATTACCAATGACATAACAACCATTTCAACCAATTAAAAACAAATTAGATGAAACCAATTGTTTGCTAGAAATTAATAACTGAAACAAAAGGCCAAGCAACAATTGAAACCAAAGCTAACCAAAGGCCAAAGGCTAAAGCCTAGCAATCTGTCATGAACAATGAGGATGGCACCAGTGACAGCAAAAATGATTAGCAACTGATAAATATCCAACACGACTGAAACCAAACCATGGTCGTGCCCCAAGCCGAGACATTTACCTGGCTGGAAATCAAAGGCAAGCACACAACTCAGGCCAAACAAAAAGCACAAATATCCAACACAAAAGCCAAGGCTGACAAATATCCAGCACAAATATCCAACACAAATACCCAACACATATATCCAACACAACTGAAACCAAACCATGGTTGCGACTATTTACCTGGCTGGAAATCAAAGGCAAGCACACAACTCAGGCCAAACAAAAAGCACAAATATCCAACACAAAAGCCAAGGCTGACAAATATCCAGCACAAATATCCAACACAAATACCCAACACATATATCCAACACAACTGAAACCAAACCATGGTTGCGACTATATCGCCAATCTAGTAAACTTAGGTACCGTTGCTCACGCGGTTCTCTCAACCATTAGCATCATTATCTACTTCTGTTTCTTTGTCATGGGCTTCGGCCCAATACCCAATATCTTCTGCGCTGAGATTTTCCCTACTCGTGTTCGTGGTAATTGCATCGCTATATGTGCGTTCAGTTCTTGGGTCGGAGACATTATTGTCACCTACACTCTTCCCTTGATGTTGAGCTCTATCGGGCTCGCTGGTGTTTTTGGCATATATGCAGCTGTGTGTGTTATTTCTTTGGTGTTTGTTTTCTTGAAAGTTCCGGAAACAAAGGGCATGCCTCTTGAGGTCATCACTGAGTTCTTTGCCATTGGAGCGAAGCAAGCAGCCAGCAATTAGCGCGTTGGCCCGTGTTCGCCACTTGTGATTAACATTTCCTCGCGCCTTGATGCGTGGTTTGAAGATTTAATGAGGTTTTGGAGACTCGGAGCAGGATTGTGGTTGGTGTATTTAGCTTGAAATTGGATAGATTGAGAAACAGGGATCTTAAAGAATAATCTTTTGTTTTGTTTTTTCTGTTTTTTCCCCGTTTTCCTTTTTTCACTTTTAGGAAGTATTAAATTCTTTTGCTTTTTGTTTGTGGGAGATGTATGATGTTGCTTTTGCAGATATCGATCTTTATGTGGTGTTTCCTGAGATCTCAGAAGGCAAGTTGGTGTTTAACGAGAGAGCTTAACAGAATAGCACCTGTATATCGAAATGAGCTAACATCCAGAGGTAACTTAAATGTTGTTGCAACACTTTAAAATTTAAGCGGGGATGCAATACCCTCAATTATAGCATATTTGGGTGTTGCGAGGACATTTTCGTGTTGCAACTGTATCCAAATAAACACCCATAAATATAGTTAAAACTATACAATACTTCAACTACATCAATCCAAATACATTCATGATGTTGTAACTATATTTATAGTACTAACACACTCTAATCAAACACATTCTAAACTGTGTTGTTGAATCATGAGTGTTGTCTATTATCAAATACTTTAGATTGTCACGGAGATGTAGCAAGGTTATTGAATAAGAACATTCACAACATCCAAATTTCTTTATAATGAAAGGTAGTCTAGGGTTAGTTTGGTATTGCTTTTGTTAGATTGATGTCAAATGGTAGTCAATTTTTAGAAACAACTAGATGATATTTTTAAAAGTAGCCTCTTTTTATATTATACATATCCTTTAGTACTTTGACAATATTACTTTATGTGTCTTAAAATTATTATCTATTTTGGTGACTACATCTATTTTGATCATTTTTCACTTATAATGATTTAAGCACAATTTTATCAAAAAAATTTAACTATTTTTGAAATAGTTTACAATATATGATTATTAGAAAACTATTTTGAGTAGCTTATATAAGTTGTTTTTATAAGCTTATTATACAAACAACTTTCTTATAAGCTCCATTAATACCAAGTTAGCCCCCACTCTCCTCTAAAAATTTTCCTCTACAAGTTTAGATAGTAAGTTTGATTGTTAGGGCCTGTTTGGTTCGTTTCCCTCATTTTCCAAAAATAATTTTTCTTCACTTTTTTGTGTTTCCTTCACTTTCATGGAAAGTGTTTCTTGTGTTTGTTTCGCCAAAAAATATGGGATGAAAGTACTTTCCACCACTTTTTTTAGTTTGATTCAACTTGAAAAAAGAAGAAAACAATTTGATGTGTGAATAGATTCCCTTATTTTCTAGTGTTTGGTTCAAACTAAAAAATCAAGAAAACTTGATTGTGGTCACCATGGTGTGATTACCACCCATGTAAGACAAAATATTAACAACAAAAATTAAGGCACACAAAATATAATGCAATGCACTCAATTGACTGCAAATTCAGAAGGCAAACACACATTGCCTGAAAATTCAGTAGGCAAGCCTAAAAATTCAGTAGGCAAGAACACAACTCGTCTGAAACCAACTCGATTGAAACCAAACCAATTTTGGTCAAACCAAGTATGAAAATATCCAAGACTGAACCAAGGCTAAAACCAACTCGAGAGAAACCAAGACTCGAACAACCCAAGATTGAAATCAAACCAAAATTTAACACAATTTATAGAAAATGTGCTCAGAAAAGGCCATTTTCTTTATTATCTGCCTCGCCATGAAGTTTATAATAGCAATGTTGGCTGCATTTATTGTCTCGCCAATTGATTACTAGTATAAACTTTGGTTGCATACATTACATATCTGGCCATCATCATAACATAATATCACATTACCAATGACATAATAATCATTTCAACCAATTAAAAACAAATTAGATGAAACCCAGTTGTTTGTTGGAAATTCATAACTGAAACCAAAGGCCAGGCAACAACTGAAACCAAAGGCTAACCAAAGGCCAAAGGCTAACCAAAGGTATAAAGCCTGACAATCTATCATGAACAATGAGGATGGCAGCAATGACAACAAAAATGATTAGCAACTGATAAATATCTAACACAACTGAAACCAAACCATGGTCGTGACCCAAGCCGAGACATTTACCTGGCTGGAAATTCAAAGGCAAGCACACAACTTAGGCCAAACCAAAAGCACAAATATCCAACACAAATACCCAGCACATATATCTAACACAACTGAAACCAAACCATGGCTGTGACCAAGGCCAAGACCAACATTGGCTAGAAAATCAAAGGTAAGCACACAACTGAGTTTGAAAATATCCAAGGCTGAAACCTATTTCTGAAACCAAGGCCGAGACAACGGAAACCAAGGCTAAAACTTAATACAATTTGCACCCAACAAAAACTGCATCCAAAGCCAAGAGTTCACATTTGCTCATAAGAGCATTTAGTTCAGAAAGAGCCCCCATATATAACCAATGCTGAGAACACAACTGAGACCATGCAAGGATGAAACTATGCACACAAAAAAAACTGCAGAAAGAGCCCCCATATATAACCATGCAAGGCTGAAACCAATTCAGTTCAATTTGCACCCAACTGAAACCAA